TGATATTATGCTGAGAAACAGTTTTTAAGAATTTTTTTCTGATACCGAGGATTGTTCTGTTCACGGGATTACGAGCAATGAAAGGTCATTTCGAATAATAACATTTTCCAAAGATTTTGAGGTTACTAAATGGTAGTAGAGATTTGATTACAAATCTTTTCTAGTGCAGGCGATTCGAGATTTAACAAGTATTCCCGTAGTCATTCAGAGCTGACAGTATTCGAACCATTGTCATCAACCAATGTTTTCAGCTAACATTGTTGCCGAAGAAACAACTTGTTGTAGTTTGAAATTTGGTAAATCCCAAGCAAAATGTGAATATGACTACCCGTTGTTGAATTGCAATGCTCATGTGCATTCATCTATTCAATGCTTTCTGTACAACACTGGTACGGAAATGTTGATGCTATTAAAACTACATAATGCTGGAGTTGAACATCTGTTTCGTTAATATTGATGTTGGGATTACCCACGGGTTCGGACATGAACACATTTTTACTGATCAACTTATTCAATCTATTACTTGAGACTGAATTGTCATATAAACTTAATACATTGTTATGTCCGGGACTAGTGGTCGAGACGCCACGTTATATTAATTGATTACGCCTCCGAATTAACTGAAATAAAAATAATTTTTGAGTTGGAGTGATGCTCATGGACTCATTCCCGATAAGTTTGTCGAAGTTTGTTCTTGCAAGTTTGAGTAGTTATTATGTGCCTTTCTATGAAGTGTTTATTAAAATATCTGAGGGGAAGGGTCATTTTGAAGTCTGAAACCAGATTTTTTTTAATACTTCGTACGTTTTTTTTTTTTTTTTTGATGATTGTTGGTTAATACACTTGACAATAATTGTCCCCTTTTAAACGCAATTTTCTTAATAGTTTGGTGTTTTATCCGATTCTGTATAATTTAAATGATTCAACTCTGTGAACGTGATGATACAATTTTATGTCTTAGAATTACTTACAGTTTTCGTTTCTGAGTCAGTCTAGTTTACAATTTTTCTCTAGATGTGATCTCTTTCTTCCTGTGGAGCTCAAGATTTTGATTGTAGAACAGTGGGCTTCGATGGTTTTCGGCCATACTGTGGTTAAATTCACACGACCGGTTTTACAATTTATAACCGACGGAATTTCCAAAATCTGCGATTTGAATTTGGAAAGAGAAGAAATCACACGATAAAACGTACTAAGGGAGCGTTTGGAGCCGTGGAAGCCCTGATTGATTTTTAGTGTCATTAAGGTGAAGATGGAGCTAAATTGACAAAAAGTCAGAAATCTAGTGGATCTCAGGCGACGATTAATTTACCGAAAAATATCAATGTTATGAGGGAGATGATTTAGCTACCCGCTATAATTCAAAAAGCTATTTCTATCGAATCTCTGGCTATTATTCGATTTTAATCATGGCGTGACTTTGAATTGGTCTCCAGAGAAAAAGAACTGTACGGTTCTACGATTTCTCCGTGATTGAATTTTAAATATTGATTATAAGGATCCACTGTTTTGAATTTGCGCGTTGGCTAATTAAAGTAGGGGTTAGTGATTTGGAGATTGTGGCGAAAATTCAATATATGATGTTTTGTCAACTGATGGAATTTTTGCTGACATTTGTCCCACTTTTGAGTGATTTTAGCATAGCTGAGGGCAATTGTGGAATCACGCATGTTTGATTGAGGCCATGGGAAATTTCGAAATTTACTGGATATAACAGCATTAATAGAGTATTAATTCATTTCAATTAATTTCAGCGGTTTTTTTTCCAAAGTCTTTCAAGACTTTCTGTTGCACTCTCATCTATGGAGCTTTCATCAATTTTGATTCTTCATGCGTCATTCTCTTTTTACCTTCTATTTATCCTCCAGTCAGACACTAGAGGATCGTGTTAGCACGTCGTCTCCATGACTCTCCCTTTGAAATATCGTGAGAAAAGACGACAGTGCAGGTGAATGATAGTTTACTGCAGCGCGTAGAATGAAGGGTAAAAATTGTCGGATTCGAATTACATTTTTCTCATACATACATGAGCTCCTCTCGTTCGTTGTTACACGGCGTTCAGGTGTTAATAATAAAATCAATGAATCGGACGGATGAATGGTATGTTTTCATAGGATAATGGTTTCCTCAGGCATGAATAAATTTAATCAGATATTAATTGGAGTGAAAATGTTCATCTCTATTTTATCGATTCAAATTACCGATTGATGAAAATTCTAATGTCTAATCAATAACTTCACCGATAACGATGTCTTTAAATATAAATGGACTAGTTGACTATGAGCAAACATATTCAAGCCCCAAACAATGAACAAAAATCTATCGTAGTCAGATTTCGGAGAATAACTCTTTTGCGGCGGTTATTTCATTCTGTGAAAGAGGTTTTGGGAAAATTTTCTCTTTCAGACTGAAAAATATTTCTTGAGTAAGTAACAAGTGTAAATTCAAACTTGAGTAAGTAACAAGTGTGAATTCAATTAGTTTTTGTCGTTCATACTTCATTGCACCGATGAGAGGAGACAATTGACTTCCTCTCCCTCACATTCCCATAACAAAATACGTGAACAGCTCACTTGGTCTGGTGTCTTGAGGAACGACTTTCTGATCTCAACTTTTCTCTAATACTGATCGTACGAGGGTTGAGTGAGGCCGTAGAAGTTTGGCAATTTCCCGGGGCTAATCTGGAGGTCGGTCAGCATTGAGATGCTGCGAGGATTGCGAAACTCTCCTATAGAGAGGGTGGGTAGTGGTTCAACGAAGATACCCAGAGAGAATTTTCCCGTGAATTACCATGAAAATAGCATAAAAATTACGTTCGAAACGGTAAAACGGATGTACCCTGTTTAATTTACCACTGAATTTTTCTTGAATTGGGAAAATCATCAAAATGTGCTATTGATATTTAGAAATATCACTTCGACTCATACTACACTGAGAACAAAATCCTAGAAAAATTACTGTGCTCGGCATGGGAATCGAAGTGCAAAATGTTTTCATCGGGAAATTTATCGCTGAGGCTAAGAACAATTTCTAAGTACATCATTCTTATCTACAGGAAATTGAACATTTTTTGACATTTTCAACTGTGAATTTTCCTTTGCAACACAGTAAAAGTTCTGAGGCAAAGAGGAATTACTGCGAATTCAAGGAAAAAATGATTGACATAATATGAGCCAGTGCTGTGCAAATTGCCACATGCCTGTTTGCTGCTGCGAGATTTTTACTGTGCTATGAATAATCACATCGTCTGATTTGGGATAAAACAATTGCCGACGCCCACCGATTACTACCGGAGGTTACCGAAGGTAGAAAAGAGAGGGGATTATTTGAGTTCAATGTTATTCTGTTTGCATTTAAAATGTTAACCAATTTTATGTTTTACCAGTATAAATTTATTGAAGAGGATATTTTATTTGGGATAAAGTGTTCAAAATATATCGCGAGACCTCTTAGACTTTTACTTCTTATACGAGTTTTTTTTTTACTATTTTGTGAAATAGAAAAGTGTTCGTTTATGAGAAGAATCAATTAAAATTGGGTAACTATTGAATTTAATTAGTTTTTAATCGGTAAATAACAAGGTACAGATCCAATTGCATGATCCATTGCATTTTTCCTTGATTTTCAGTTTCTTTTATATATATAGTATATTTGCATTCTCTCTGTACGTTTTTCAATACTCATCTACATCTGTTGTTTTCTCCCATTAAAATGTCGGCAATGTGGCAAAATTTATAATTAAAAAGTGGTTGTAAAAAAAATTGAATAAATTTTACTTTTTCAAAAAATAATATATGTCTTTTGGTGTCTATTGTCCTTCCTTCCTCTCCATTGGTGCAATCAATTACTCAATGATTTTGTTTCATAGGCAAATAGTTATTCTCTACAGCCAATTCAAAAATTCGAGCTGAAAGGCACGATTTTGATTCGGTCGATAAGGACTTTCTTCTTGTGACGATGGAAAAATTAATATGGACCTGCTAAATTTTTACTCAGCCAATAAAGAAATTTTATGACACGAGCACAGTAATTTTTCTTCCGCAGTGATATAGTTTTCCTGTATCTTTTCCGAACTTCTGCAGCAAAAATTCATTGAATTTTTTGTCCGTGTAGAACTGGCGACGAACGGAGAATTCACTACCGATTTAATTTCTTTCGCCTCTGGTCTTTCATCGACACTGCCGCTTTTATGCTAAATGTTTCCACTCTCATTTGAATGTCAGTATTGCGAGAAACCTATGCAGGCTAATGGAGGACCCGCACACCTACGCATTAATGCACCTAACCACTCAGAAAAACCCTCAGGGCCACGTGCATTGCATGACACTGGATTTTTTTCATTTCTGGCACAAGTATTAATCGATCCATCTAGAGTCTCCGTTTTTCTTTGACTCCTTGTAGTATCAAAAAAACTCCAGTCGTGAATCCGTCATTGCGCGAATTTCGTAGGCATCGAGTCTGAGTAATCGTACAGAACTAGGAAATTATTTTGGGTCTCAGATTCATGAGGTGCGGAAATGGAAGCGAGATTAAAGCAGGAATCCACGATTATTCTTTGCCCCCGGGTTTGTGAGTTCTCAGTGTCACAGCAAAGTGGATTCGAATAAAAATAATATTCATATTATTGCGGACTGGATGCTCTTGTGATCATGATTATCGAATAGTTTGTAACTAGAATAATGAATGAGGTTATTATGATAGGATATGATAGTTTATCTCAATCGAAAGTTCAATTTATGTGTTCTCTATCTGAAAACCAGAAGAGAGAAGTCGTTGACATGAATATGTAATGGGCCTAAATACAGGACCTCAATGCCAGCTATTTGAAACTGAATTCCGAGTGAGAAGTTCAGGCCATCCACATGTATCTGTTCGAGCGTTGAATCAAGTTTGCGCAAGCATAATTCCCCTATTTGTCATTAGCATGACAAACAGCCACCAAACCATTCTCACTCAAACCCAGTTCACAAGTGTACCCAAATATAAAGGTGTGTACTCACTGTATAGGCGAATTGTACCGTCGGTGTCACCGCGAGGATTTTTGGCGACGCATTTGTAGCTTCCATAATCCAATGGCTGAAAGCAGAATAATTGAATAGTTTGAAATGTTTACTCATTCCATTGAAATCAATCAAATACATGACTCGATTGGAACAAAATATCGATGGTGAATTTTTGTCGAGGGGCCGACATTTGTTTCGATTTTTTCTCCAATTTGGCGGAGAGTGACTGAACGAGAACCAAAGGGAAGTTGACAGCTTTTTCACGGTGGCCATTGTAATTTATTCCCTACCCCTCAATTGATGACCCACTCTTCTCTCCTATTCATCGATCAAGAGCCTATCCCGTGGATTTATCAGATAAAAACAAATTCGTGCTCGACCTCCGGCTGTGAATCCCTGTATTTTTTTTTGGACAGATTCTACTCATGTGTGTTATTACGCGAAGGAGTACCATACCGAAAACATATTCTTGAAAAATAATCCTTCTAATTACGCAATGACGTTTTTTTTTCTTTCCGCGCACTCCGATAGAAAGGAAATTTAAGTGATAATAGAGGATAGGAGCTCACCGCGAGGTCGTAAATTGTCAGTGTCATGTGAGTTTTGTAGGCCGGCTTTTCAGCGACAGACGTCATTTTATATTTTTTGCTCTCGTGGATCATGGGTCCGCCATCACGTGTCCAATAGTTGAGCGACGTGGGGTGGGCCTCGGAATAGCATTCGAGGGTCACCGCGAAACCTAAGGGTGCACCCACCAGCTGGTGAGGTATCCACAGCATCGGAGAAACTGAAAGCAAATAAAAAATTTCATTTAACTCGTAAACTTGGAGTAAATAAAAATTATTCATTCCTAGCCATTATTTCAAGTCGATGAATATTCATTACACGAGGAAATTTCAAGAATAGTATATTTAAAATCGGGCTAGCCTGATTCATTTTCCATTGAGTACTCAAGTGATCAAGTGATATTGAATACTCCAATGATTACTCATATTTTCGGCAATGACGATTTCACTAAGGGAAAACTTTAATTGATAAATTTTTGGATGCCATCATTGTTGAAAGTAACATAACATATGGAAATAGGGGTGACAAGTGAATAAGGACAATAAGGTACAACACGATTTGTAATTCACGTAAAATTGTGATTTAAACTTTATCACGCCTCTATTGTATTATATTTTTATACTCAATCGACTCATAAAACTCTCTAATGCCGATATCAAACTATTCTCATTTCGATGGGCTATCTCACGAATCCCCAACGACAGTCGCTTCAGAGTGAGGCAGTTCAATTTAACTTAAACCTCGAGTAAGGATATTTTATATCTGCTTCTTCGAGTCTGCCGTCAAGTTGAAGGGTCCCCTTTCGCATCCTCCCTGTGTCAACTAATGAGAAGAGATCCTCCTTTGATGCACCGGTGGCATGTCGACATGCGAGTAAATTATTCTGGATGAAGCCTCCGATAAATGCCTGCCAGAGAAAAATTCTGATTTTTAGATAAATACTCTCATAAAAAATATGAATTCCCCTTGAAATAATAATTCATGTGTATCTCCGGGTAATCGAGACCTTTGAAATTTACTTTAATCCATTACAATAACTCCGCAGATGTTGATTTCTCCAATAATACCAGAGCGAAAACTTGAAAAGTCCGTGCGTACACATGACAAAGACTTTGACGAACGGGAAATTATGTGCCAGTGTAGATCAGAGCTTCGAGGTGGAATTGTGCGGAAAGAAGCGTTGATGTAGGGCTGGTACATGCCACGATGTTGAGTGCAAAGTACAACTCCCCAACACCTTCTTGAAATGCAAAACTTGGCGCCAGAACGTGTTGTATACGATGAGACGAAGAAGGATGTCACGAGGAAAAACGAGGAACTGAGAGGAGCCCACATCTTGACTACACCAGCATCCGTTGGAAGACACAAAATTACGCCAATACTCCAGTCTGAGTGAACTGTATTTCGTTGGGTAAGATGCTGCAGAGAATTCCAAAAGGATGCATCAATCGATACAGGTTCTCGTTACACTAGGAATTTAATTTAGGTCAAAAAATCTCATTGTCTTTCTGTACCACAAGAATTATCAATAGTGCTTAATTGCATAATCACATCATTGGAAAATCTCGGATAGTGATAGGTTCACGTAGCTTCTGGAAGTCTAGGTACGTTAAATATTTGAGAAAAGGAGAAAAAATGTCAACGAGTCTTTTCTCCCATGTCTCTTTTCACAGGCGTTTTTCATTCATTAATAAAGGGAATAATTTATGGAGAAGTAACACGATTGTATCACCTAGAGCGTTGGATATTTCCAGCTGGGAGAGAACGGAAAACAGAGAGTACGTGGTGCTTGACGGATTGCTCACCTATATACTGCTGCCCCATCCAATGTCACCGAGACTTTGTGCAGGGAACAGCAGGTGTTTCCAAAAGCTTGTCTGGTTCAATTCGTTGAGACTTTGCAGTCGCGTTTTGTTTCAGGTGATTTTTTTTAGTTCAGCTTGGCAACCGTTGTGCTTGTGCTTCTATTCAATTGCTTCAAATTCTTAATGTTTACAGAAAAAATATTTTCACCATTAAAAATGTCCAAAAGTGCTGGAGCAATTTCAGTGGAAAACCTGTAACCGCCTGTCGACAAGAGAACTATCATTTCGAAAAATATTCGTACTCTTTATGCCAGATTCTCATCAATATCATCGGAAAACCGAAGGAAGTTCCTCTCTACTGCTCCGCGCACTCCACAACACTCTAATTATTCACAGTCTGGCGGAAAGATATGGCTCTCCCCACAAGTATCAAAAATTCTCAAAACATGCTCTCCACCGACAAGCAGCAATATCACGGGAAATTCTTGGACGAGACTGAAGAATCCTCGGTGTTGCATCAATTTCTGCACCGAATGCTTTGTGGAAGCCCGAGCTCGTTGAGATTGACTCCACTTGAGATCTCAGTCCAACACACCAACCAGATTGAATAAAACACATCGAAATGATATTTCAATTCCAATGCCAGATCCTCTGCAAGCGTATGCATCTGATCAGAGGAAAAACCTAAAAGTACGAGACGGCAATTAAGTTGTCATCAACTAAAAAACACTCTTCATCAATATATCAGTCCCGGGCAAAAGAGTTTGCCCAGTGGGAAACCAATGGGGAAAAAAGTTTTCCACATCACGTAGCAGTTGGCCGGAGGGCAAAGAGACAGGATTGGTCTCAGCAGAAATCATCGGCTCCCGAATACCCACCGCGCATAATATCCAGTTTTGTGTCCGGCGGGGCTCTTTACCCTGTACTTAATACTTCTCACAATGACACTTCGCGATATCGAAAAAATCTTCAACTTTGAACGCCGTGGGCAGCCCCTAAATACTCCAACTCTGAGAATTCTTTGGTGATCGATGGGGCGGAATTGGAAACGCATTTACTAACGTGCCCCTATCCCCCGAGAAACTGGAAAAAGAGCAGAAAGTAGACGCAAGAAATATGCAAAGACCAATGCTGAACGAAATAAAAGTGGTGGTGGCATTGATTAAGGTTGTGACGTGAAAATGTCCGAGAGAGTTAACGAAAAGGTCGTGGAGGGGTTAGAAGGGGTTAGAAAGGGCTGTGGAGAGATCTCCCTGGCATTGTGTAATGCTCTGTGCATCACTTCCCATGGTGCATGGAATAGAGAAGGTGACTCAGAAGCATTGTCGCATTAACATTCCTTTCGTGTGATAAGGGGTGGAGAAGGGTGGCGAGATTTGATTATGGAAGGTTACCGGAGAGTGGATTGTAACGTTAAAGGGGGAATTCTGTCACCAGGCGGATGGTAAAGGGGTTGAAGGGTGCGGCCACTGAGAGAATATCCTTGAATCGGAAGGACGTTACTCGCTACCATTATCGCGGATTCTATCGTGTCGATTGGAGTACTGAAATGTCTGTGGGGGTTCAAGCCCCAAAGTGCTTCCGCTTCAGGAAGGGTTGAGGGTTCTTTGAGTGGTACTGGTACTGGGGCACCATTGAAATGCCGGTGTCATGTTGCACGAATGATTAGTTTTTTGACATTACGCTTACGCGGAGAGATATATTTTCAATAAAAAATTAGTATGAGAAATATCAGATTTCATGGGTACTACAATAGTCACGGACAGGATGCTGTCATTCAATTTTCATGGGTCATTCAATATTAGAGTTTTTTTTTATTAATATTTGCGGGAAATATTTTTGTCTCGTGTTGATTCTCTCGGATTCTCTCCGTCCTATAATACCGCCCGAAGAAATTGTAGAAATGGAATGAAAAATCAACGAAGGGAAATCACTGGATCAAGATAACTTCTGGAACGAGTGGGTATGTCTCAAAACCTTTGTTGGATCTATGAAACGGTGGGAAACAATCGTAATTTGTTGGAAGGGAACGTGAAAACCGATCAAACTACGGATCTCAAACAACCTCATGTGCACACTGCAATGAATAGTGTGGCTGCTCCGACGTGGAATCCCCGATTTTAGATTGGAAATTCCAGGAAGCTCGAGGCACAATGATACTCATGTACCAAGAGAACAAAATCGTTGTTGACAAAGAAGATCCACAATAAAATATGTTTTTATTAATTGTGAAAATCATGAACTGGTTGTTAAACGAAAAGCCCTTGAATAAATTTGTCATTATCGATCGGTTTTTAGGAATAAAAAAGCTGCAGTTCCATTTGATGTTTCCACAGCATTTTTGATTGTTAATGACAGATTATCCTGGAATTCCAGTGGAAAGGGAATAGGAATCTCCCGAATTAGGTACGAAAAATCGAGAGGAAAATTTGAAATATTCGGTCAAGTCGAGTGGTTTACTTTGGTAAAATTAAATTTGTACATTGCACCTGTCAAAGCAGATTATCGAATCGATCAGTCCACGGTGTTGATGCAGCGATGTTATTGGAATTGTTGCCTTTGCTAGGTCTCGGATCTGCCTTTATAAGCGAATCCAGATGACAGAGTTGAGAGATTACATTGCTCCACCTAATACCCACAATTCTCTGGTAGAAGGATAAAATGTATTTTGTATAATAGACCTATACCATCGAAGATGACTGCAGTAGGAGACTGTAGTACGAGATTGAGTTGGAAATCCATCTTTTATTCAATCCCTTGATTTTCTCTTCTACTCACGCTTTTTGGCAAACGATTATAAACTTTAAACCAATCATAAAGTCATCTATTGTTCGTACGTTTCACGTGTTAAAGTTTTTTTGAAGAGGTTTGGAGGAGCTTCAACATTGGAAAGATTTCGACTTCTTGAAAATGTTGGAGGGTGCCACTTGAAAACCAAGAATACGTGCTCCTCAAGTTTCATTTGTTTCTACTGGCTGCTACTTTCATGAGAATTCGAGTAGTCTCTTGCAATGGTTTTCTTCAACGTTTGGCTCTGAAGGATCTTGTCGCTAAACAGAACAGCTGGATGAAGACACTTAGTTAAATCATTTTAAGATTAAATTCCCGTGACATTTTCTTCAATAATTTCTCAAAGAGTCACTCGTCGGTCGCAGTAACAACAAATGTGAATAGAATTAATATCTTTTATTGTTGAGCAAACCACTTTTAATTCTCTGCAAAATTCTCTACAAATTAAAATAACCAGTGCCGGAATTTTTTCGATGGAATGTGATCGCCATCGAATAGTGAAAAGTTCCTGTCATAGAATATCGTGTGTTCGAGCAATCAATAAATTAATTATTCCCTGGTATGAGCTTTCATCGATCATGGTAAATTCCTGTTTCAGCGATGTATAAAGCCGACATTCTCTTCC